GTTCCGAGCATGCATTGTAGGGTGATTTGTGCTTGTCTAATTGTGTTCTATCACCTCCTAACGTTGTACCATGAGTTTTGATATATCCTGTATATTAATTAAAAATTTTATTTCAAATTTATGATAATGTTTAGCACTGTAATTTGATAAATTATTGATCAAGTTTACATTATTAAAGAATTAGGCTATATAAATTATTATATTTATACTTAAATACAGTAGACTCCCCGTATAAAACGGGTTCACATAATGCGGATTCGTAGATCACGGCGAAAAAATTGCAACCGTATTCGTATAAAGACGCTAAAAGAGACACGTGTAACGCGGTAAAACGTCATCGCCGACTCGTGTCGCGACAGGATTGGTCGAAGCTAGACCAATAGCGGATATTGCACAAACCTTTGAGTTTAAATGAGTAGCGGACCTACTAAAAACCATTTATTATTTAACGGCCATAAAAATTATGTTTATATTAATGATGTATCCAAAGTTCAGCAAAGTTTTCGCAAAAAAATAATTTATCAGGAAGCACGTGCCTGCCGTTCGATGCGTTGCTCCGCGACGAAAACAAGCTTAAGCAATGGTGTCGTCGAACGTATACTATAAACAAAAAATTGTAGGATTACTTACCGAGTGTGCACTACACTCGGTAAGTAATCCTACAATTTTTTGTTTATAGTATAGTTTATACGGATTACTCACAAAATTTTATACGTGTTTTGGAAATGTTGAGTCGAATTAGTCTAGAATCGGTTAATTTTATAGAAGAAAACCTTTCAAACAGCCGTAATCCGTAAACTGCACACGTGCCGGGCTGTGATTGGCTCATGTATTTAAGGATTTCTACAACGTGAAATTCTTATGAAGTGGAACGTATCTACCGCGTTATAGGGGGAGGGGTCGACTGTAATATATAGTTTGTATAAAAATATATTGCGATGTATTTATTCGAGGATAGTCATAAAGTAAACCAAGTCCATACAAACTATTTTAGAGGTAATGAACTATTTAGGAAATTTTTTAAGATTAATAAAATAATAATAATAATAATATTCAAAATACATTAATGGGTATAACGAACAATGCATAATACAGCATCTTTTCAAACATAAAATGCAGAAAAGTTATAAATAACTTGAATACAATTTTTACCCGGTTCGCTTTAGTACATAAATTGTTAACAATCCAAAACATTTTATTTATTACTACAGTCCTGATATAGGTAATGTAATTTCATATTTCACTTTCGCTATCCCATTTCCATATATAAAGGAATCAGTGGCTGCTTCATGGTAATCTGAGGCACCTGAGGCCAAACTGATTTTTGCAGCTCCTGTCTCTAGAACGTAGCATTTCTAACAATGGCAATCTTGTACGAACTATTTATAAACAACTTTAAAATACATTTATGGGTCTTGACTGTATTCAGCATATTTTTATTTTTATTTTTATCCTTTCGAACGTTTTTGACTGCTCATTTTGACGCGTGAGGTTATTGCCTCGTATCCTCACTCTTCAAGTCAGTACTGAAAGGAATCATATTTTCTATTCGTTGATTCCATTTCGTGAAATATATTCTAGGCAATTCCAAGAAATCGTTCTGTCGAAATAGTTCCAGTTCCTAACCTAATTCTGTCTATTACAATTAAGGCTGTTCTAAAACTGTTTTAGGAAGCACTTATTACTCTTTGAATTAAATCACACACTTGAACTCAGTTTTTTTATGAACAGTTTTTGTTAATTGCTCGTTTTTACAGCTTAATTTGCGGAAGAGATCTTTAATCTGATATTATTTCATTAATTACATTGCGTTGCGTGCACAAATCTTTAATCATAAGATTGTTTCCTTAATTTTTTTATTAAATAAGTAAGAACTGTAATGATAACAGTTTTATTTATCTTTTTACTAGATTTGTGATACAGACATATATTTGCATTCAAGTTATTTTATTTATATCTATATCTTCGTGTATAGTTTCCATTTTACCAATAAGATAAAATATATAGCTTATGGAATCTGTTATTAATTAGAAAAAATAAAAAATATTACTAAAAATCGTGATATTAGTTATTTTTAATATTAAAACAATGAGAGATCCTTCTAAAATGGTTTGTGGCTTTTTGATCAAAAAAGGTTCGCCATCTTCCATTTTCGAATCAGAAAAGTATCCAAGTGCAAATTTCAGGGAAAAACTATTTTTAATTTATATAATAAAATGAACAATATTAATTTAGGTTTAAGCGACGCAGTATATTTGTACCTTAGAGTTTTAGAAGTAGCCAGGGCTGACGCTAGAGTTATGACGCCCGAGGCAAGACATGCATTTGACGCCACTTATCATCTACATGAAACGAAAAACAAAAAAATTTGTTTTGAAATGCCACACCTATTAGAAATAGGGAAAAATTGTTAAATCTTTTTAAATTTTAATTTTATTTAAAATATTTTTATGTCACACTACGACGATAGTTTCTCTGTTCTGTTCGTTATTTTCATTCACGAAAATTTATTAAAATTTTTCGCGATTACCATTTTCGCTCCGGGCAAATGCCTAGTTTGCCCATGCTGTAGTGCCGGTCCTGAGTGTAGCTGGTTTCTAATTAAAGTTCTGTTATAAATTATTATTTCTCAAAATACTTAGTAACTTGTTTTTGTCACTTAAAACATGTCGACTCCACCTTTTACTTTAATATAATAGGTACTCTTCTCAGTTTGTTTTGAACCATTTGCATCAGTGTTTCTCAATCGCCATTCCACGGACCAGTGACGATCCACAGAAAAATATTTGACCGTACTGAAGCTGGTGCAGTTGATTACAGGTGATATTTAAATAGTAATCTTGAGTTACTGCACGTACTTTGTTACGTACAGTAACTCTAGATAAGCATAATTCATAGTCGTATATAACAACTTGGTCCCACATAAAATTATCCATCATTTTACCAGTCCGCAATGAGAAAAAGGTTGAAAAATTGGTAAAATGCATTGGTGACAACATGATAACAGTTTTCAATTTTTGGGAAAGGAGAATCAAATAGCCATCTTGTCTTCGCTAAATCCAAATACAGATGATATTGGCTCATCCCAATGTCAAAATCCCCAATTGATCAAAGGTTTAGCTATTGGTAAGGTCATGAAAAAATTAGCAATAGCAATGTTTCTTCCGTGTTCTGATATTGATAACATTCCTGCAGCTGTTTAAGTCATTCCAAAAATAAAATTAAAATTATACTCAGATCAGGGCCCTGAAAAGGCAGAGGCAGAGTGGTCACGTGCCCAGGGCGCCGAGATGATGGGGCGCCAAAATTTCAAATTGTTATATGAGCGAACTAATAAATTGATAGAAAACTGTCGCATACGAATATGAAAAAATTATTTGTAAATATTCTTGCTTCTTGTCTGGATTAATTTCTTCTTGATTTGACCCAGGACTATCAATTGTAGGCTACAGATTTATCATATCTTGTAGGTTAATTAACAAAACGGAGGTTTAGAGATCAAGTTAAAAAACGCTTTATTAATTAATTAATAGTGGAAATTCATTTCGGACTCACAATCCCTCATCAGTCTAAACAGCAAGCGTAGATTACTATAAGCGGATTTTCTGACATCAATACATTACTTGATAACCTTGCTCTCAACAGAATCGTTAACCAAAGACCATATAACTCTACTTACATCACCAATAAAACATAAAAATATAAAACAGGATTAATTGTATACAATAGTAATTAAAAGACAGCTGAATAATTTTTTTTTTGTTCTTGAGTTATTTTTACTTAGCTGTGCACAGGGATTCTTGTGCATAGCTAAGTATAAACTTCCTTCCACTTCAATTGTTTCGGTTAATTGACGATCTACTGTATAAGCATATCGTCGGCCAGATGGCCGTTGCAGTTAAGGCCTCATTCTGTTTGCTCTGGGAGGCCTAAAATCGAATTGTCCTGAATATATCGAGCTCCGACTCTCCTATCCCGTCGCCCTCATTGTCGGCTAAGCCGACAATGAGGGCGACGGGATACGATTGTTTTAGAAGGAGAGAAACAGATTTCTTAGTGAGCAGAGGACAGAAAATTCAAAACAAAAAAAATTTCTGCTCCCTGCTCAAGTTATAGTCAGTTAAATTTCAAATTAAAAGTTACAAAATGCACATCGTGATAGACCGTGTGAATATCAATTCACACGGATGTTGACGTCTGAATCAGGACTTATAACTTTAAAATTTTATGTAATAGGCAGCATTTGCTGTAAATCGGATGTCTGCTTGAGGTGTATCATGACGACTTAGGGCTGAATTAGAATATGACTAGTTTTTCAAAACTTAATACAACAGACAGTGCTTGCATTTTGTTCATTAATTTACTTTTNTAATGAGGGCGACGGGAGGTTTAGAGATCAAGTTAAAAAACCGACTCTCCTATCCCAAGTTAAAAATCCGACTTTCCTATCCCGTCGCCCTCATTGTCGGCTAAGCCGACAATGAGGGCGACGGGATACGATTGTTTTAGAAGGAGAGAAACAGATTTCTTAGTGAGCAGAGGACAGAAAATTCAAAACAAAAAAAATTTCTGCTCCCTGCTCAAGTTATAGTCAGTTAAATTTCAAATTAAAAGTTACAAAATGCACATCGTGATAGACCGTGTGAATATCAATTCACACGGATGTTGACGTCTGAATCAGGACTTATAACTTTAAAATTTTATGTAATAGGCAGCATTTGCTGTAAATCGGATGTCTGCTTGAGGTGTATCATGACGACTTAGGGCTGAATTAGAATATGACTAGTTTTTCAAAACTTAATACAACAGACAGTGCTTGCATTTTGTTCATTAATTTACTTTTTCAAGTGAAATATAACTTATATTAAAATAAGGAAAGGCCACCGAGCAACATCCCGGTGGACTGGCCTGCAAATATCGACGTTCTATTCTATATATATATTATTTTCTAGTGAATATTAAAGATATTTATATTTATAAGCCAATTAATTGTATTCCAGAATCTGTTCAAGAATTTTAATTTGATTTCTATGCAAGAAATGACACTTGGTGCTAATAAATATAAAAATAATTCAAGTTCAATGCATTGGAATATACTAGATGCATTTAAAAACCATCCTGAGAAAGAAGGTAAATTATTATTTAATTTTATTTAATTTGAAGAATAATTTAAATTATAATAAAATTATTTTTATATTATTTTTTAGGATATAAATGGAAAAACGATTGTAAAGCATTTAATATTGTCCTCAATCCGATGCAGATACGTACATTTGAATTAACAATTTCAAGATAATTTGGCATCTCAACAATCTTTCATTTAACTTTTATTAATTGTTTATAAATAAATAGCTTTTAATTAAAATATAATGCTTTTTCCAATTATAAATTGTTATAATCATTATTGAAAAATTGTAACTGAAATTTAAAATTATAAGCTATATTTTTGTAAATGATTATAGTAGTTATTCAACCTGTCGATTACGATCTACTGAATATATACAAATTGTTTCCTGAACAATGACAAGCTTTTCTATGAATTAAAGGGTCATAAATTAAAGAAACAGTTGAGAAACATTGTCGTAAACAATATTTTTAAGTTTTTATAATTCTAATTCAACTATAAATGATAAATTGTTCAAGTTAGTAAACCTCTTGTGATAAAAAGCAATTTTCTGTCAGATTTTTTACAAAAGTTTTTTTCATAGTTTGTATAATTTAACCTAAATGCTTTCAGATTGTAATATTTAGTAAATTTGAAAAAAATAAAGTGATCTTATGGAATTAGGAGATAAATTTGTATTGAATTTTTTCCTATATTAATTATAATATTAGAGCTTTCAAAATTTATTCCTAATTTTATTTTCATATAGAATTTCCTAATAATTAAAGTTTAAATTACAAATAATTCTTGCATTATAATTAAAATGTTAAAAGTAAAAAACTAAGAGCGTGTTTATTATTATTTAAGAATTTTACTTTTACTAAAAAAATTTCATTGAAATTGAGTAAAACTTTTCCTGACATTCATATAAAATTCAAAACAATTGTGTTATTTTTTCCTTGTTGTAATTATTTAATTTTCTTTTATTTTTAGTAAATTACTTTTAAATTTTTCTATAGAATATATATATTGCATAATGGTAATAAATATTCAAATTTATTAAGAAAATGTAGGCATATATTGTCCATAAAGGTTTTTATTCGGCTTTAAATTCATAAAATAATTATACTACTTCTTATCGGATGATAGAGTTTCAATTCATAATTAATTACCTAATTGTATTTTAAAAATTATTTATAGTCTATATTTTAAAATAAAGTNAATCGTGTCAAATTTGACCCTTCGAGTTAACACTAGGAGGATCAAATTTGACAAATCTTCACGTTTTGAGACCTCCTGAACCCAAAAAGTAAAAAAGAGGCAAAAATTCCGTAAATATGTATATGTGTGTGCGTGCGTGTGTTTGCATTTATTTTGTTTAATATCTCAGGATAGGGTAATGATTAAGAAGCGAAATTTAGTATGGTAGCTTGTGTATAAGGGGCATTGATGCTATTAAATTTTGGTAGTTAAAAGTCAAGGAGGTAAGGAGATCGGGTCATAAATCATATCTCGAGGGAGTCGTTCTTAAGATTTTACTCGTTATTAGCATTTACAGTTTTTAAAATGAAACTCGTCTCTATTCTAAAAATTAAGCTTTTTGCACTCTTATAATAATTAATAATACAAAAAGTTTTTTTATATTGAAATATAATAACAGATAGCGCCACAAACAATTTTATTTAATGTGGACAAAGAAACGCAAAAGTAGATAAAGCAGATAGAATAATATCCGAATTCGACTGTGGGTTGCTTACTGAATCCATAAAATGCGTGCATACCAGTTATTGTGCAAAAGTTATCAAGCATTAAAGCAGGATAAAGCAAAATTAAAGAACTTTGTCAAGGTCGCCATATATTTTCCCAGCAGCTCAGTCCAACTGCTACGCCTTGTCTTCCGTATCTTACTGCTAATCATAGCAAGAGTAGTAGCAGCAACAAAGAGCCTTGCCGTTTACTGCTTTCGGAAGTGGTAAACCTTCAAGATGGCAAGACATGGTTTCTGTATTCTGTTCTGTGGGAATACCCTTGCACATTTTTTGTCACAAAGAGTTCCAAAAGTGGATAAAGTGTAATTTAAGATTATCTTCGAGGGAAAACATGCCTAGTGAAAGCATCTTGCAAAGGATTCTCCCAATATTGGAAACAAAGATTTAGACTCTACTGCACAAATGTGTCCAGGTGCTAACATTCTACTGATACTAGATGACTTGGTCGATGTGAAAAACAGGAAAGTTGTAAATACATTGGTTGTGTGGCTTGGAACCTACAAACCACCCTGTCTAGTGCGAACACAAATTGTAGAGAAATGCAACAGTGATATCATTGTCAAAGAAGTGTTTGCATATCTAAAACTTTTAAATGTTTAGTTAGACAATTTTGTTGGACTTTTGACAGACAACACTCCGTATATGACTGCTACTTCTTTGAAACTCATGCCAGTGTACACGAGATTATTCCACACGACATGCTGGGCACATGTTACACATTTAGTCGCTGAAGAAGTGCGCATTAAGAACAGCATCTTGAACCTTTCATCTCAGGGATGAAAGCAGTTCTAATAAAGGTGGAAAACAGAAGGTATTCGTTGCAGATAGCTCAATCTGCCAAGATACTACTCNATTGAGCACAAATATATAATAACAATAAAATAATGGATATTGGAATATTAATATTCATATTGATCATATTCAAAATTATAAACTTAATAAATTTTTTTAAAATATTTTTTACTTATATTTGTAAAATATAACAACATTAACGTATTGAATAAACAGTGTGCAGTTGTCAAATATATTTTTCCTATATAAATTTTAAGAACGGTTGCATGAACGTCTGATAAACTTGCGATAGTGTTTATCATTAATTCGGTATAGATAAAATTTTTATATGCACATTTAACTTGTGAACAAAATATCACACTTATTAGGAAATATGATCCTTAGAACTTTCATTCATATGGAATTATTGATAAATCACTTCAATTAATCATTCTCGCAAGTTTAACAGCCGTTAATATATCTTGCAACCGACTGGTAGTTGAATATGTAAATTTTCGCTTATTCATATTTTTCGCCTGTTCTTTCAACTCTTTGTTTAATCATTTCTGGAGGAACTGTTTTAAGGTCATAAGCTAATCCTAACCAAGCCATGGTATCTATGAACATTGTAGATAAATTAAACCTCCATCCTAATTCGCTTGTGCTGTAATCCCATGGAAATGTGTGATGATAATTGTGAAATCCTTCTCCAAGCGCTCCTATGGCTACGAAGTTATTTTCTCTGGCCGATATATATTTATCGTATGGTTTATTTCCCCACATATGAGCTGCACTATTTACTAACCAGGTCATATGAAGAGCCACAATATATCTCGCTACAAAAGTGAACCAAAAGGAGTAATACGCTGATTCGCCCCAAAACCAATAAGGTACGAATGTTGGTATTAATAAATTGAAGAGTAGCACCAATTGTGGATAGTACCTGTAACAATTTATTTTAAATATAATAAATATTTATATATATTCCGATTCATTGTATTTAATAATACTAACCTTCTTTGGAATTTCACTACAGGATCATCTCTTAAATCACTTAAATCAATAGTTTTTCCTTTTGCTATAACGTCTGGATGTTTACGAACTAAAAGCCATCCGATATGAGAAAAGAAGAAACCTCTTTCTACATTATGAGGATCTGCAGTCGTTTCAGAATATTTATGATGGACTCGATGATCTCGTGACCATTCATATATGTCATTCTATAAAAAAAATATTTATAATAAAATAATGTATATTAATCCTTTAATCATATCAATAATTTATTTAAACTTTATCATAACATAATTTTCTAATGTTATAACAGAGTTCTACTAAATGATTCCGTAACTACTAAATAGTGTGTCCATCTTTGTTTAAAGCTTAAACACCAGTGGTTCCCGAACTTTTTGATTCTAGGTGCCCTTGCTAAATGCAGAATTTCCCAAGGCGCCTTATGTCAAATTCTAACGAGTGCATTAAATTCTAACGTTATAAAAAATTTATAACATTTCGTGGCGCCCCTGTGAGAAAGCCGCGGCGCCCTAAGGCGCGCGGAGCACACTTTGGAAACCGCTGGTTTAAGCTAATTGCTGAATATATTAGAAGACGGAAACTTAGATGAATATTTTATAGAATATGATTCCTATTTTTCATATTTATTTTTTAAATGTTACGAATAATTAATTTAAAATATGTAATTCATCATGAACAGAGCTTATTTCTTATCATGTATGACATTCACTACGATGTCATTATTTCCAGCTGAGATTTGTTCGACTGATCGGTAACGTTGTTTTAAGAAAACGGAACCTATTTCTTACGTAAGTTATTTATAATTATCTAACGGATGAATAAGAATTTAGATCGTATGAAGTCAGGCAATTGTAAATTTTGATTATAATGAATTTAAATGATTTTATTAAAGACATTATAACGTGACTGAGGCGTGTGACCTTCGTGAATATATTTAAACTGATCATTTATCTATTATATTTGTAAAATATAACAACATTAACGTATTGAATAAACAGTGTGCAGTTGTCAAATATATTTTTCCTATATAAATTTTAAGAACGGTTGCATGAACGTCTGATAAACTTGCGATAGTGTTTATCATTAATTCGGTATAGATAAAATTTTTATATGCACATTTAACTTGTGAACAAAATATCACACTTATTAGGAAATATGATCCTTAGAACTTTCATTCATATGGAATTATTGATAAATCACTTCAATTAATCATTCTCGCAAGTTTAACAGCCGTTAATATATCTTGCAACCGACTGGTAGTTGAATATGTAAATTTTCGCTTATTCATATTTTTCGCCTGTTCTTTCAACTCTTTGTTTAATCATTTCTGGAGGAACTGTTTTAAGGTCATAAGCTAATCCTAACCAAGCCATGGTATCTATGAACATTGTAGATAAATTAAACCTCCATCCTAATTCGCTTGTGCTGTAATCCCATGGAAATGTGTGATGATAATTGTGAAATCCTTCTCCAAGCGCTCCTATGGCTACGAAGTTATTTTCTCTGGCCGATATATATTTATCGTATGGTTTATTTCCCCACATATGAGCTGCACTATTTACTAACCAGGTCATATGAAGAGCCACAATATATCTCGCTACAAAAGTGAACCAAAAGGAGTAATACGCTGATTCGCCCCAAAACCAATAAGGTACGAATGTTGGTATTAATAAATTGAAGAGTAGCACCAATTGTGGATAGTACCTGTAACAATTTATTTTAAATATAATAAATATTTATATATATTCCGATTCATTGTATTTAATAATACTAACCTTCTTTGGAATTTCACTACAGGATCATCTCTTAAATCACTTAAATCAATAGTTTTTCCTTTTGCTATAACGTCTGGATGTTTACGAACTAAAAGCCATCCGATATGAGAAAAGAAGAAACCTCTTTCTACATTATGAGGATCTGCAGTCGTTTCAGAATATTTATGATGGACTCGATGATCTCGTGACCATTCATATATGTCATTCTATAAAAAAAATATTTATAATAAAATAATGTGTACCACTCGGTATGGATTCGAAACTCCAACTTTATCTAGATGTCAAACATCCAGCGTGGCAGTTATGGAAAGAGCTTGACGTCCTAGATCCAAATCATAACCAAGCAATGGACAGTATAACTTCTCATTTATGCAAATTCTCTAAGAAAAAGGTACCGAAGGAAGAGATAGCATACTACAAAGCTTTGATCAATAATGAAAACAGAGCAGTGTGCAATCACAATAAATTTCTGGAAGCACTCTATCAGGAAAATGCTAATTTTGAGTCAGCTAGCATTAAAAGTTCTGTCAGTTCCTGTTAGCAGTGCAGATATGGAGAGGCGTTTTTCTATTACAAACCATCTTCTTACGCCGAATAGATCATCATTTACCAAGGAGAATTTCTACATTCATATTCGCATCATGTTCAACTCAGCTGATCCAGTCGAAGATATACAGTAAAAGTAATATGCAATATCACTTTTACTGTATGACGTAATCACGTAAAACAATAAAAGTTGTAAAGAAAATTTGTGTGATGAAAACAAGTTTAATTAAAAATAAATAAATAAATAAATTAGGCAGAATAAAGCAGAAAATTTCTGTTATAAAGCATAATATAGCATAATCTTTATTTTGTAAAGCAGATTTTTTTAAAATAAAGCAGACTGTGGATTGCCTTAATTATAGTTAATACTATAAAAGTTACTTTTTAAGTAATATCTCTTAACAGCCAGGAAAGTTACGCAACTCGTTGCTAGATGTTTTAGAAAGAACTAAAAAAATTATTTACGGAAATTTTCTATTCTTCTTTTTACAAAGTGGTAAGTTTTAATGACTACATTCAAACAATAAATTGCTTTTATATTTTCCTTAAAATAAAAATTTATATTATTTATACTTATGNTTCAAAGACATGCTCAAACCTTGGAAAATGTAAGTGGATCACAGAGAAAAAATATATTTAAAAGCCTAATAGTCTTTGAATCTGTTTTAATATATTTAATGCCAGTAAATTTTACTTTAATCAAGATAGGTTATTAGTGTTCCTGTTTCCAATTAGACAGGTTTCTGGGCAATATAAAATGTATTTTATAATAAAAGGTTGTTTCGTTCCGAAACTTATTTTTCTTTAGACAAGTTTTTGTTTTGTCGATCTTTTTAGACACGTTTTTTTATACTATGTTATTTCAGAATTGACCCTCTCAGCCGTTTGGCCATCAAACTGAAAATTTGTTGAATTTTTATTACTTAAGATAAAAATTGTTTCTGAATCAAGAATATAAGTTATGTAAAATTAAATATATTTTAAGGTCATTCACATAATAGGATAGACATATGAGAAATAGATTCTTAAAGATAAGAATAGAATGAAAGTGAATCATCAAACGTCTTAGAATAGAATAAATAATAATAAATTATATATTTTTATATTAATTTTATAAGAAATAAATATAAGCCATTTTTTAAATTACTTACTTCTGTGGCAATACAGTTACAGATGCAAAGAAATATTCTAAGTGGCAATTTTGCCTTATATGATCTGTGGCACCATAAACGATGAGCACCAGCAGTTATCCCCAAACCAGAAAGGAATCCAATAAAGCAGCCTAAACATAATACACATTTAATTAATTATAAGATATAGAATTGTAATTCTTTGTAATAAATTTAATATTAATTTATAAAAAGTAATGATTAAATTTTTACATTCTTTACTGAATTTTTGATATCACGACAGAACATAATATATTATTGAAAAAAATTTAAACTTTTTAAATTAATTATTGATATAATCTCTTTTTATTGTCAAACGATCTATTTACAGATAATCAACTATTCATGAAGTTGTTATCATTATCAATCACTTGTTAGATTCGCAGTAGGCTGTCTTACTTAAAAAATCATTTTCGGTCAACTTCTCACAAATATTAAATATAAAAATTAATTAATTGTAAACTTACAGAAAAGCCATGTTTGCCATTTAACAAAAACTAAACTTAAATATACTCCGTATACGGCACCAATGTGTAAGAAAGCGAAGATTGCCACATTTCTCCATACAATTTGTAAAGGTGGATATTCGGATTTAATACTTTTCTTTTCTTGTGATACTGTTTCCGTAACAGTAGATAACGTAGTACTTGGTCTAGGTGCCATTTCACCTATAATTAGAAGATTATAATCAATTTTTACATCAAATTTATAAATATATTTTAATAAAAATAGTATGATAAAAAAAACTAATGCACGCTTAACCTGATATAAAACTTTTAAATATATTTTTAAATAAAACATATTTATGATTTAAATCATAAATAATTTCACTTTATCTTTTAATTATTAAATTATTCTACTATAAGAAAAGTTAAAATTATAATTATATAAGGACATTTTCTAATAAGCAGGAAAAATGCAGATTTTAATGTCACTGTTTCCTTTTATATAAATTTTTACAAAGAAGTAAGAAGAAAAACATAAAAAAATATGTGTTCCTGAAAATAAATCGGGAGGTGTTTTCTTCTATCTCCGGGTCAAATACTGCTACAGGCTTTCTACCTACTTAAACACACCAATCAACTTTGTAAGGAAGTATAAAGCATTGGAGAAACTATTGACCTACTCTTAAATTCATTTTAAGAATTCGAAATATTAAAAAATAATATAATACGNAAGTAAGTACTACAACTAAGTACTACAGGCGATATCTTATAACGCTTATAATATATTTAATAAGTAATTTTTGGAAGAATTTATATACAAAAAACAAAAAAAAATTACTCCGAATATTCCTACATATACATCATTAAGATGTTATTTTTCTGATTGTAAAATCTTAAAAATCTGAAAACCAGCACCAATTTATTTATACTGATCTACAGTTAAAAGATAATTTATATATAAAAAATACATAAATCAAGATCAAAATTTATTAACATTTATATTTATTTGTTGCATAGATTATTGCTTTTCGAATACGATATCATTTTACATTCCATAGCCTTTCCAAGGCCGGATTTTACACATATATTAATAAGTTACAGCTTAAGGTCTCATGATTCATCATCGTCATTGATTCGTCATCAAAAGTTGCACATTTTGGAATCTTGTAATACGAGGTTCCACAGTTCAAAGAATTAGTTACTGGCGTACAATTTAGGGCCTCAAGCTTGTAAATTTATTAGTTAATAGAGGAGTGAGTACTTTTATATTTCAGCTTAAATCCGGCTCTGGTCCTTACTCTTCCTTTATGTGGCACTTTTATAAGGCATAGCCAATTTTCACTCTCCATTTCATTATTTTATATATCCACATTATTATTCTTTAATATTTATTATCATTATTTTTTTCTAAATATTAACAATCAATCACAATAATTAAGAAAATAAAAATCAATATTAAAAACATGGTGGACTAGTTTATTTATTTAAAATTTTGTTTAAATATTGATTTGATAACAGTTATCAGTATTTTCATACTATTATGACTTTACCAAATATTATATATTATTGAGCGAAAATATATAATAACAATAAAATAATGGATATTGGAATATTAATATTCATATTGATCATATTCAAAATTATAAACTTAATAAATTTTTTTAAAATATTTTTTACTTATATTTGTAAAATATAACAACATTAACGTATTGAATAAACAGTGTGCAGTTGTCAAATATATTTTTCCTATATAAATTTTAAGAACGGTTGCATGAACGTCTGATAAACTTGCGATAGTGTTTATCATTAATTCGGTATAGATAAAATTTTTATATGCACATTTAACTTGTGAACAAAATATCACACTTATTAGGAAATATGATCCTTAGAACTTTCATTCATATGGAATTATTGATAAATCACTTCAATTAATCATTCTCGCAAGTTTAACAGCCGTTAATATATCTTGCAACCGACTGGTAGTTGAATATGTAAATTTTCGCTTATTCATATTTTTCGCCTGTTCTTTCAACTCTTTGTTTAATCATTTCTGGAGGAACTGTTTTAAGGTCATAAGCTAATCCTAACCAAGCCATGGTATCTATGAACATTGTAGATAAATTAAACCTCCATCCTAATTCGCTTGTGCTGTAATCCCATGGAAATGTGTGATGATAATTGTGAAATCCTTCTCCAAGCGCTCCTATGGCTACGAAGTTATTTTCTCTGGCCGATATATATTTATCGTATGGTTTATTTCCCCACATATGAGCTGCACTATTTACTAACCAGGTCATATGAAGAGCCACAATATATCTCGCTACAAAAGTGAACCAAAAGGAGTAATACGCTGATTCGCCCCAAAACCAATAAGGTACGAATGTTGGTATTAATAAATTGAAGAGTAGCACCAATTGTGGATAGTACCTGTAACAATTTATTTTAAATATAATAAATATTTATATATATTCCGATTCATTGTATTTAATAATACTAACCTTCTTTGGAATTTCACTACAGGATCATCTCTTAAATCACTTAAATCAATAGTTTTTCCTTTTGCTATAACGTCTGGATGTTTACGAACTAAAAGCCATCCGATATGAGAAAAGAAGAAACCTCTTTCTACATTATGAGGATCTGCAGTCGTTTCAGAATATTTATGATGGACTCGATGATCTCGTGACCATTCATATATGTCATTCTATAAAAAAAATATTTATAATAAAATAATGTATATTAATCCTTTAATCATATCAATAATTTATTTAAACTTTATCATAACATAATTTTCTAATGTTATAACAGAGTTCTACTAAATGATTCCGTAACTACTAAATAGTGTGTCCATCTTTGTTTAAAGCTTAAACACCAGTGGTTCCCGAACTTTTTGATTCTAGGTGCCCTTGCTAAATGCAGAATTTCCCAAGGCGCCTTATGTCAAATTCTAACGAGTGCATTAAATTCTAACGTTATAAAAAATTTATAACATTTCGTGGCGCCCCTGTGAGAAAGCCGCGGCGCCCTAAGGCGCGCGGAGCACACTTTGGAAACCGCTGGTTTAAGCTAATTGCTGAATATATTAGAAGACGGAAACTTAGATGAATATTTTATAGAATATGATTCCTATTTTTCATATTTATTTTTTAAATGTTACGAATAATTAATTTAAAATATGTAATTCATCATGAACAGAGCTTATTTCTTATCATGTATGACATTCACTACGATGTCATTATTTCCAGCTGAGATTTGTTCGACTGATCGGTAACGTTGTTTTAAGAAAACGGAACCTATTTCTTACGTAAGTTATTTATAATTATCTAACGGATGAATAAGAATTTAGATCGTATGAAGTCAGGCAATTGTAAATTTTGATTATAATGAATTTAAATGATTTTATTAAAGACATTATAACGTGACTGAGGCGTGTGACCTTCGTGAATATATTTAAACTGATCATTTATCTATTATATTTGTAAAATTTAATTATTGTAAAAATAAATATAGAATTTACAATTAATTTTAATTTAGAAAATACAGTAAAATCTCTTTAAAACGAAACGCGATAATACTGGCCAGAGTTTTCTGCTTTAACAGGTGTTTCTTTTATAGAAGTCTGTGTTTTTATTAATTTAAGAAAGAAGAAAAGTTTAAAAATATGTTATAATTCATATTTAGAGCTGCTTCTCCTCCAGAATAGTGTTTTATGCTTCAAAGACATGCTCAAACCTTGGAAAATGTAAGTGGATCACAGAGAAAAAATATATTTAAAAGCCTAATAGTCTTTGAATCTGTTTTAATATATTTAATGCCAGTAAATTTTACTTTAATCAAGATAGGTTATTAGTGTTCCTGTTTCCAATTAGACAGGTTTCTGGGCAATATAAAATGTATTTTATAATAAAAGGTTGTTTCGTTCCGAAACTTATTTTTCTTTAGACAAGTTTTTGTTTTGTCGATCTTTTTAGACACGTTTTTTTATACTATGTTATTTCAGAATTGACCCTCTCAGCCGTTTGGCCATCAAACTGAAAATTTGTTGAATTTTTATTACTTAAGATAAAAATTGTTTCTGAATCAAGAATATAAGTTATGTAAAATTAAATATATTTTAAGGTCATTCACATAATAGGATAGACATATGAGAAATAGATTCTTAAAGATAAGAATAGAATGAAAGTGAATCATCAAACGTCTTAGAATAGAATAAATAATAATAAATATTAACTAATTAATTTATATAAGGTAATTTGGTTCACTAAGTATTCGGGACATTTGAGTATTCGAATATTTAAATATTGGTGTCTGAAACCAATATTTAAATATTGGTTTTCTCGAAATATCGATTTCGAGAAAAGTGATCTCTAATTATTCTTGAACTGTGGAAGATGTGATAAATATGGTATTACGTTCCGAAAGTAGTAATAAATGTGTTTTATTTTGTGAGAATATTTTCCAGATATATTTGTAATATATAAAATTGAAGATTGAACTCTTATAATAGGAATAGAACTCTTATTGAGAAATATTGTAGACTAATTTTTTTTCGACTAATTTACAGATATATATATTTACCTGTTTAAATGAGATGTTTATAATATAATAATTTAATTATTCAATCTTCTAACTAGTCTATTACAGTTCTTGATATTTTTCTCTAGTTCTATCAATCTTTATCCTGTTTTATGAGTTCAGAATATTTTAACTAAAAAATAATTTATAAATTTGTGAAATGAACTATTATCTTGATTGTTTGTCTTACATTTTACTGTCAAATATTCTTCGCACAATCTCTATTCACAAACACTATTCATATATAACGTAGAATATGTTCTACCCAAGAGCATTTTTTATATGTATATAAAATACAGATACAAAAACGTCTTCATTTCTGCCCTTTTCAACACAAGGAACTAACAAACAGTCTTTCTTAGCAGAGAGGACCCCTTATTGTAGGATACGACTCTGCTAATATGCAAAACAGTTTAAAATGTTCACAGATGATAAGCCACAAAAAAACTTGTAAAAATTGTATACGTAATTAAGCATTTTTTATGTTGTTTATAAACATATTTTTTTCAATACTTTAAAAAATAAATTTATTTGTGTTTTTCAAGTCGCTAATTTAAGTAATTTTAACACCTCTTTCATCTTTCTTTCCTATTGTCCAGATTTTTTACCACATGCAATATTATTGATCATACGTATGTTTTCAAATACACTTTCTTATATTCTAAACTAATATTTTAGAAATTACTATCCTGGAATTATCTCATAAAGTCTTGTTATTGCAGTTCTTGTCTTATAACTTGTAGGCTTATCTCTAATGATTTGTCCTAAATAGCAAAACCCGTCGACCTACGGTTTTCCGTCAATAAATACTGTACTTTCACTATGTAACGTTTTTTTATAATTATGACTTAATCAGCTTTAAACTTCATACAATTAATTCTCTCTCCATTAAAACAGATTCTCATTTTAAAGTATCCTGTAGTCTCTTCCGTCGTCATCTTCGTAGTGAAGATGACGATGGAAGAGACTACAGGATACTTTAAAATGAGAATACCAGATCGAGAATACTCCGAATACTTAGTGAATTAAATTATCTTATATAACTAATTTGGTAAAATACTTATTTTATTTATTTCAATATATTAATAAGTTAATAAACTAAAACAAAAGTAACACGAAAAACAATTTACTAAATTTTAAGAAATGAAATTTCAAACTTTTAATTTTGACTTTGAGTTTTAATGTAGCTTTTTTGAGCAGACTACTCTTATCTCAAATACAATAGATTAACAAATTATTGCAAATTATAATTTAAAAAACAAGAATTCGAAAACTTTCAGGATCTACTCTCCTTCTTATCACAAATCAAACTAGAGATGCTGAAAAGACGCTGTCAGTATGCAATGACAAATACAAGGATATACCATTGGCACAAAAAACTAAAATTTATTTATTCTAACTTCAAAACAATTATAATGGCAAATATGGTTTATAGGATCATCCGCAGACAATCATCTTGCAAGAATAAAAGGTAGTTATAATTATTCAAATATTTTTTTATTTTTGAGTTAGCACCCACTGCCTTCGGGTACTTCAGGATTCACCACTGGGACTATATGTATGGTGCAATATTGAAGGTATTCGTGGTACTCAAATGGAATTTTTATCAACGTAATATTCAAGTTCTGGAAACTAGTATTCGAGTTTTCCCTATAAATTCATCCATCTCTATTTTCAAGCAATAAAAACAATTTCAATTATTTGAAAACTATATTGGTTTTCATTCACATATTTTTAANAATTTTACAAAAAAAAACAAAAAATTCTACTGTTTCTGTTTTAAATTATGTTACTTTCTGTTAATAAAAAAATAAAATTATTTTAAATTTAATATAGAATAATTATTTTTTAGATAAATATTTTAACGTATAAACTTGCATAAAAACAAAAAACATAATAAATAAAAATAAAAAATGTATTAAAAAATAGTTAAATGATTACAATAAACCTCGAAAAACTAAAATATATAAATGAATTTTATAAGGATAACTTCCGTATTATATATATCAAGTCAGGTAAAAGTAGTTCCGTATAGTTTGGATCTTTTGAAGGGAGGAAAAATTATTTTCATGCACGCGAAAAGCGCATCTTTGTAGAAGGATATGTATAAGATATACACAATATGCATATAATACACGCACGAAGCTTTATACAGCATTCATTTAGATATAAAACTAGATAATTGCAGAATAGTACTATATAGAAATCTACCCTATATATTCTCATAAGATGCCAATTAATCAATTCCATCCCAATTTAAAAAATCGTCAATTGTATGGCAAAGCGTAAGTTATAACTAAACAATAAATTATAGACCATTATTTTTATTTAAAAATAATGAAAGAAACTAAAAATTAGAAATTCAAATCATTTTTAATTTTAAAAACAACGAAATTTGATTTCATTAATTGATATTTTTCACATGTTCAAACATACGACCCCTTAAATTGTAGCAATTATAGCTATAAATTTAAATATACTGTACTGTACAGATGATATGTATTATTAATGTGGTGAATATTTATATTTTAAAGTGATTTTATCCGGGAAAAAAGCCTCTTAAAATAACTAAAAACAATCCCAAAATAAGCGCTTAAACTTTATAAGTAAAAATTTTAAATATTTATAAAAATTAAAAATAAATATAAATAAATTTTAGCAAATATTTTTAAAGAATGAAAGCAAAATTTAGGATATTTACCTAGTTAAAAATATAAAAATATTTACAATCTCTCTGATACTTCCACGCTTATTTATCCCTTTGAGTTCCTCTGTTGCGTTTTGCCTCTTTATGAAACATTTTCACTTTTAGTTTTACCGCTAGAGGCGCTTCGTCTATTATCCTATTGGTTAAAAGAATGATGACGCATCTAAACCGTNAAAAATTACGTAATGAACCACATTTGGTCTTTTACACTTAGACTGTTTACATTCCAAATAACTATGTCATCTTTCTTGAGGTTATAAAAAGACTTTAAGATATTAGTCACGTATTTATTATATAATCAATGTACATTTCGAAATATGTGAAATTTAAGGACTATTTTGGGCTTAATTTTTTTTAAGATAACGCCGCATTTTAAATTATTATATTAGCATTGATTCATCAGAAACTTTCATTTGAAAATTTTATTGAAATTTACGAAAGGGTATAAACATGGCGTCTTAAGTCATTATGAATAATAACTTGTAAATTGTTTATATTAGAAACAATAATATCAATAAACTTTGAAACTATGAATGTTTATAATTAATGTAATTTTTAGTAAATACTATCCTCGAATACTAATTGTTTTACTTTATTAATTTATTAATATATCGAAATAAATAAAACAAGTTAAATAATAATAAATATTAACTAAATAATTTATATAAGGTAATTTGGTTCACTAAGTATTCGGGACATTTGAGTATTCGAATATTTAAATATTGGTGTCTGAAACCAATATTTAAATATTGGTTTTCTCGAAATATCGATTTCGAGAAAAGTGATCTCTAATTATTCTTGAACTGTGGAAGATGTGATAAATATGGTATTACGTTCCGAAAGTAGTAATAAATGTGTTTTATTTTGTGAGAATATTTTCCAGATATATTTGTAATATATAAAATTGAAAATTGAACTCTTATAATAGGAATAGAACTCTTATTGAGAAATATTGTAGACTAATTTTTTTTCGACTAATTTACAGATATATATATTTACCTGTTTAAATGAGATGTTTATAATATAATAATTTAATTATTCAATCTTCTAACTAGTCTATTACAGTTCTTGATATTTTTCTCTAGTTCTATCAATCTTTATCCTGTTTTATGAGTTCAGAATATTTTAACTAAAAAATAATTTATAAATTTGTGAAATGAACTATTATCTTGATTGTTTGTCTTACATTTTACTGTCAAATATTCTTCGCACAATCTCTATTCACAAACACTATTCATATATAACGTAGAATATGTTCTACCCAAGAGCATTTTTTATATGTATATAAAATACAGATACAAAAACGTCTTCATTTCTGCCCTTTTCAACACAAGGAACTAACAAACAGTCTTTCTTAGCAGAGAGGACCCCTTATTGTAGGATACGACTCTGCTAATATGCAAAACAGTTTAAAATGTTCACAGATGATAAGCCACAAAAAAACTTGTAAAAATTGTATACGTAATTAAGCATTTTTTATGTTGTTTATAAACATATTTTTTTCAATACTTTAAAAAATAAATTTATTTGTGTTTTTCAAGTCGCTAATTTAAGTAATTTTAACACCTCTTTCATCTTTCTTTCCTATTGTCCAGATTTTTTACCACATGCAATATTATTGATCATACGTATGTTTTCAAATACACTTTCTTATATTCTAAACTAATATTTTAGAAATTACTATCCTGGAATTATCTCATAAAGTCTTGTTATTGCAGTTCTTGTCTTATAACTTGTAGGCTTATCTCTAATGATTTGTCCTAAATAGCAAAACCCGTCGACCTACGGTTTTCCGTCAATAAATACTGTACTTTCACTATGTAACGTTTTTTTATAATTATGACTTAATCAGCTTTAAACTTCATACAATTAATTCTCTCTCCATTAAAACAGATTCTCATTTTAAAGTATCCTGTAGTCTCTTCCGTCGTCATCTTCGTAGTGAAGATGACGATGGAAGAGACTACAGTTTACATCAATTTTTTTTTTAAATTGTAAATTTAAAAATTTTTAAAATTCTTTTAACCTAGTTTATTCAAAAATTAATTCTAAATTAACAAACGAGCTTAATAGATGCCATCATTTTATATAGCTTGTACTATTTATCTTCTAAAAACGACACCATTACAACCCACACAGATATGATTTTAGAGACGGAATTCTACGGTTCACCATTACGTTATCGTACCGGTGTTAATGTACTATACTTCAATTTATCTCCTGTTAATTATATGTACAAGAAATTTTACAAAAACGTACGAATCGAAATAGTTTTTGGCCTTACCTTTCACTGTCGATTCAGTTTCCTCCAACTGACACAAACGTGGTGAACCCAGACTGCTCTGTGATCGATCGCAATTCAGTCTCTTGGTATTTCTAACGTTATCGTTTCTTTTCTTTCTTTATCATGTTCTGGAACGTGTTCCGAAATAATTTTTTATCATAATTCCAGTAAAAAAAAAATTTCCACAAAACTTCACTTCCATATATAATACAATGTTGATTTCTATAATTAACCTTTGCATAATCATTATAGAAACAGTTTAAAGTAAGTACTACAACTAAGTACTACAGGCGATATCTTATAACGCTTATAATATATTTAATAAGTAATTTTTGGAAGAATTTATATACAAAAAACAAAAAAAAATTACTCCGAATATTCCTACATATACATCATTAAGATGTTATTTTTCTGATTGTAAAGCGGCATTCCTTCATACGTTTAAAAATAGAAAGGAATATAATAATAAAGTTATACTAAACACGAATGATAATATTCACATTTCCAATGCCCTAATTCGCCTTCAAAATTTTCCTCAACCTTTTCCTCGTATTCAGCAGGTGAAAGAACTTCTCTTGTAGATTGACCTAATATAGGTTTTCATTGTAAAGTAAAACTTTCCCTTTCGATTGTACTAGAATGAATGATAACTTTTTCATTATTTTCTAACCCATAAACAGCTAAATTAAACTACTTATATTATTATTATGTTTCTAAGATAATACCATATATTTTAAATTCAATTATTTATATATTTTTTATAGGATGAGACGAGTTACTTTATATTCTATTAATTTTCCGTTTATTTTATGTTGTAAATATTATAATAAATAATTTCTAATGAAAAATAATCAGTTAACAATAATAAAATAAAATTGTTTTACAAGACTTGAATTTCAATCGTTTATTTTTCTGTATGTTTAATATCGTCTAATTTATAATTCTAATTTTTTTTAAAGTTGTATATCAGTTGTTTTTATTTAAAAAGTAGTAAAACTCTGTAGAATTGATTTTATTTTCATCTTTTTAGTATTATCGCAGTTACAAGTATCAATTTTAAAATATTTTAATCGCATTATAAGATCTAGTCATTACAGCACAGTCCACATATACTACACATACACATAGTACAGTACAGTAGCATATAAGATACTATAATAAGTAATCAATATAAATATTACAAGTATAAATATAAAAATATTTTAAAATTTAAACGAAAACATCAAAGAACTTTATCCTTAATATATTACATTGAATTAACAGTATTTGTAATTTAAAAAATAAAAAAATAATAATTTAAATATGTTAATAAAACTAAATATCAAATTTAAAAATCATAAAATTTATTTTTATATTAATTAATTTAAGTTTTTCTTATTTAAAAATTACGTAATGAACCACATTTGGTCTTTTACACTTAGACTGTTTACATTCCAAATAACTATGTCATCTTTCTTGAGGTTATAAAAAGACTTTAAGATATTAGTCACGTATTTATTATATAATCAATGTACATTTCGAAATATGTGAAATTTAAGGACTATTTTGGGCTTAATTTTTTTTAAGATAACGCCGCATTTTAAATTATTATATTAGCATTGATTCATCAGAAACTTTCATTTGAAAATTTTATTGAAATTTACGAAAGGGTATAAACATGGCGTCTTAAGTCATTATGAATAATAACTTGTAAATTGTTTATATTAGAAACAATAATATCAATAAACTTTGAAACTATGAATGTTTATAATTAATGTAATTTTTAGTAAATACTATCCTCGAATACTAATTGTTTTACTTTATTAATTTATTAATATATCGAAATAAATAAAACAAGTTAAATAATAATAAATATTAACTAAATAATTTATATAAGGTAATTTGGTTCACTAAGTATTCGGGACATTTGAGTATTCGAATATTTAAATATTGGTGTCTGAAACCAATATTTAAATATTGGTTTTCTCGAAATATCGATTTCGAGAAAAGTGATCTCTAATTATTCTTGAACTGTGGAAGATGTGATAAATATGGTATTACGTTCCGAAAGTAGTAATAAATGTGTTTTATTTTGTGAGAATATTTTCCAGATATATTTGTAATATATAAAATTGAAGATTGAACTCTTATAATAGGAATAGAACTCTTATTGAGAAATATTGTAGACTAATTTTTTTTCGACTAATTTACAGATATATATATTTACCTGTTTAAATGAGATGTTTATAATATAATAATTTAATTATTCAATCTTCTAACTAGTCTATTACAGTTCTTGATATTTTTCTCTAGTTCTATCAATCTTTATCCTGTTTTATGAGTTCAGAATATTTTAACTAAAAAATAATTTATAAATTTGTGAAATGAACTATTATCTTGATTGTTTGTCTTACATTTTACTGTCAAATATTCTTCGCACAATCTCTATTCACAAACACTATTCATATATAACGTAGAATATGTTCTACCCAAGAGCATTTTTTATATGTATATAAAATACAGATACAAAAACGTCTTCATTTCTGCCCTTTTCAACACAAGGAACTAACAAACAGTCTTTCTTAGCAGAGAGGACCCCTTATTGTAGGATACGACTCTGCTAATATGCAAAACAGTTTAAAATGTTCACAGATGATAAGCCACAAAAAAACTTGTAAAAATTGTATACGTAATTAAGCATTTTTTATGTTGTTTATAAACATATTTTTTTCAATACTTTAAAAAATAAATTTATTTGTGTTTTTCAAGTCGCTAATTTAAGTAATTTTAACACCTCTTTCATCTTTCTTTCCTATTGTCCAGATTTTTTACCACATGCAATATTATTGATCATACGTATGTTTTCAAATACACTTTCTTATATTCTAAACTAATATTTTAGAAATTACTATCCTGGAATTATCTCATAAAGTCTTGTTATTGCAGTTCTTGTCTTATAACTTGTAGGCTTATCTCTAATGATTTGTCCTAAATAGCAAAACCCGTCGACCTACGGTTTTCCGTCAATAAATACTGTACTTTCACTATGTAACGTTTTTTTATAATTATGACTTAATCAGCTTTAAACTTCATACAATTAATTCTCTCTCCATTAAAACAGATTCTCATTTTAAAGTATCCTGTAGTCTCTTCCGTCGTCATCTTCGTAGTGAAGATGACGATGGAAGAGACTACAGGATACTTTAAAATGAGAATACCAGATCGAGAATACTCCGAATACTTAGTGAATTAAATTATCTTATATAACTAATTTGGTAAAATACTTATTTTATTTATTTCAATATATTAATAAGTTAATAAACTAAAACAAAAGTAACACGAAAAACAATTTACTAAATTTTAAGAAATGAAATTTCAAACTTTTAATTTTGACTTTGAGTTTTAATGTAGCTTTTTTGAGCAGACTACTCTTATCTCAAATACAATAGATTAACAAATTATTGCAAATTATAATTTAAAAAACAAGAATTCGAAAACTTTCAGGATCTACTCTCCTTCTTATCACAAATCAAACTAGAGATGCTGAAAAGACGCTGTCAGTATGCAATGACAAATACAAGGATATACCATTGGCACAAAAAACTAAAATTTATTTATTCTAACTTCAAAACAATTATAATGGCAAATATGGTTTATAGGATCATCCGCAGACAATCATCTTGCAAGAATAAAAGGTAGTTATAATTATTCAAATATTTTTTTATTTTTGAGTTAGCACCCACTGCCTTCGGGTACTTCAGGATTCACCACTGGGACTATATGTATGGTGCAATATTGAAGGTATTCGTGGTACTCAAATGGAATTTTTATCAACGTAATATTCAAGTTCTGGAAACTAGTATTCGAGTTTTCCCTATAAATTCATCCATCTCTATTTTCAAGCAATAAAAACAATTTCAATTATTTGAAAACTATATTGGTTTTCATTCACATATTTTTAAATTTTTTCGTTAGTTTTTATTACTTGCGATGTTAAACTTAGTTTTTTTTATTATTCGTATTTTCTACTGTATATCTGTAATTAATATTTATAAAATTACGTAAATTAATATAGTAATATGTATAATGCAAATTCAGTTTCTTTAATTAATTGTTTTGTACTTTTATTTATTCCTGGAGATTTGCCATTAGGAATTGTATTCAAAGCATTATTAAATTTGTCCCTTTTAATGTAGCGCAATTCTTCCATTTCTGTCAGTTGTTTTTTCTTTATTCTACCATGAATAAAATATATCTACTTTCTTTATATAGCTGTTCGAGACATTCTCTCCAGCCTTTTTTTTTCTTCTCCGTATCTTTAATAACACTTACAACTGGATCCTGTTCAGACGAAAATATTATTGAGTATGCTCTTAGATGTTATTTCTTGTTTCTTATATAAAATTTTAATGCTGAACTAGATCTGTTTTTCCCTGTCTTTTTTTTTTATTCATAGTTCGTTTTTTGCCTTTTTTTACACTTCCTGTTTCATTCTTCAATTTTTTTTCGTAGTATTTTTTCATGTTTAATATTTATCAATACATCTTGCCATACTTTGCATTCTATCTAGTTTTGTACAAGTTAAGAAAATTAACTGTGTAATAATTGTAGTGAGTAAAGTTGATGCTTTTTGACTATTTTTTAAATTGAATTTTATATTATTTGTAATGTTTCCGTTATGATTCTCTCGATGTTCAGTCATTTTCTTCAATGTTTATCATTGTATTTTTTAATTATTTATTAGTTTTTTTATATTTCTGTGAAATTTTAGTACATTTTTTGATCTTTTTAATTCTTCAAGTTCTATCGTAATTTTGTTTATGTCTTATTACTTTATTCCAGCGTAAATGAGATATGATTTCAAATAGGTTATTAAATATTTATGATGGACTCAATGATATCTTGATCATTCATGTATATTATTTTTAAAAATAAAAATACTTGTATGAAAATTAATAAAATATATCATCATTAAAATATTTCTGAATCAATATAACATAATTTTCTAACGTTATATAATACTTTTAGCAGTGAATCTATTTTTCCTGACTTTATTAAACAGCCTATTGATTCAGTATCCACTCTTAATTCGATTTGACATATATTAAAG